GTCTAGGTTCTTTGTCTAGGTCTAGGTTCTTGGTCTAGGTCTAGGTCTACGTTCTTGGTCTAGGATGCACCACTGTAGGGATCGAGTTGCAATACGATATCATTAGTTTATTAATCTTTATTTACGGAATAGAGAAAAAAACGATGCCCTCTGGAGGGGACAGTCCCTGGGGGTCTTCACTGTCCACCTGACCTCCCAAATGGCTGAGTACTATGACCTCTTCTGAGCCCTCACATCCAAACTCTACTACGACCTGGACTTCTCAACCAAAAAAAAAAAAGAAAAAAGAAAGAAACAGAAAAAAATTCAACAAATGCATCTATGAGACTACGACCTGGACTTTTCAAAAAAAAAAAAAGAAAAAGAAGAAGAAGACGACAGAACATAGTCAACATACATGCAATGTCTCTGATCAGAACTGCGTTCCAACTTTGGGCTCCAGAGTTCGAACTTCAATGTTCAAACCTCAGACTATGGGACATGTACTTCTACAAGCCTCACAGAATAAAATCCTACATAGACAGATAGAACATACTCCCCCCCCCCCCCCCCCCCCCCCCCCCCCCCCCCCCCCCCCACAAACAAAAAAAAAAAAAAAAAAAAAACACAAAAAAAAAAAAAAAAAAACGGTCACTTGGGGAGATTCATCTGTGACCAGATTCATTCTGGAATATGGCGGGTTCAAAAGAATTTTACCCCCTCCCCCCCTTTTAGAGACCCCCCCCCACCCCCCCCCCCCCCCCCCCCCCCAATAAAAAAGAAAAAATGCATACACAACTGTGAGCCTTTTAAAATGGAATGCAACATATAGACTGTACTAAGTGCTGTAAGTTCCTGTAACTAGTACATTCACTGTCAATGTCGAATTAATCGCTTTGACATTGACTCAACTGGTTTTTTGATTGAATAAGGAACACTATAACAGCCATTTTTTGGGCTCGGTTAAAAAAAAAGGTGATGCCCCCAAGAATAAATATTAAATTTCCGATAAACTGTCGTGTTTTTTTTTGTTTTTTTTTTTTTTTTTTTGGTTTTAAAAGGGCGACGGTGCGACGCAGTTGAGATATCGTCATATTGAGCTGACCGGTCCGATGTATCGTTTCGTTCATCGAGTTTCGCGATGGGGGGTTGACGAGGTGCCGGAATACAACAACAGGGACAAGGTGCAACAACAACATTTCGTTATTTGCGTCGAAGGCAACCAAGTGTGGAGACTGACAACTGAAATGTACATTCGTAATCATGCTGTGGAACACATTCGAGTGCTCATCTCAAAGCCTACGACACACTTTCATAGCCTTGTATTCCGGTCGGTCCCCGGTGATCAAATGTATGATGTCCTGTATCCTTTTGTCTATCGTCTCCTAAAGACACACTATGGCACTGTCACTCAATACGGCGTGTGGAGGCTTGTCAAAACGACCGCCAACTGGACCGCCGTCGGCGATCAGGCGCCAATCATCGCAAGACGATGAGCGAGGGTGAATGCAACGATCCTTAACCCGGCACCACGGCATAGGAAATCCCCGACAGCCGCGACGGCGGCCAACGACGACCGAGCTGTCGTGAAATAAGCCCTCCGAGAGAGACGACCATGGACCCGAACGGCGCCGCAAAAATGTTCGCTCGACCACCAAAGAACGACTCGCCCGTCCCTCGCAAACTGGAAACCACCCAAAGCGTGTGCAGAGAGTCCCYCGTAACTCGAGTACAAGGTCCCAAAACCCACGCCCGGAACGTCGCCTTCATCGACTGCAAGGGGGGTGCTAAGCACGCAGGCCCCTATAAGGGTGCAAACGGGACTCCAAACCGCCAACCACCGACTGTTTGGCACATCCGGAGGGTGCTCACTGAGCCATCCGCCGAGGGACCTGCACATGTCCCTTTCCAGCAAGCCGACTGAACAAACCCCAATGGCGATGTCCCCCTCGGGACCTCATCCCTTTCCGCTCTCAATAAGACGCCTCTGGACCTTCGATCCTGGGAGACCCCCTTTTCTCGGGGCCGTTCCTACGCCCGAGTGGCAGTGCGCGGTATCTGTTGCCCCCACAAAATTCGACACCTCAAAAGTCCGTCCCATCTCCGTCCCTTTCACACACAAAGGGATAAGGGGAAGGGCCGAGGAAAAAAAATATATATATTATTAAGAAAAAAAAAAAAAAAAGGGATGAAACAAACAGAGAAAAGGCCAAGCAGCTTCTGTGCCTAGAGACTCAGATCACGCCGCTGTGTGGGAGTGAAAAGTTTACGGGAAGTCTAGCAGAATCGTGCGTCCGTTGTGGGGTTGTGTTGGCGAACATGACCGGACACGCACTCGAGAAAGAGAAGGGGGGAAAGAAAAGTCAAGGATGACTTGACAAAATCGTCATTTCAATTTGTGTCGGCCCCGAAAAAAACTGCATCCGGCAGAAGAAGCGAGGCCGAAAACCCGACGGCCATAAGCATTTCCGTGCATGTCCCGGAGAACACCATGGAGCCAATCAGGTAC